CACCCCCGCCCGAGGACACCCGCCCCCCCACACACACACACATGACCCTGCCCTTCAACAGGAAGGGTTTTTTTTCTCATCTCTTTGGACCTTAGTCATCAGCCTGTATCCTTGGCCAGTGTATTAATTCCCTTGCTGCCACTGTGATAAATGATCCCGAGAAAAGGCAGCAGACAGGGTCCGGGTTCCAGTCCATCACTGCAGGGTTCTGTTTGTCTGTTTGTTTTGTTTGTTTTTGTTTGTTTTTCCAGACAGGGTTTCTCTGTAGTTTTGAAGTCTGTCCTAAAACTCACTCTTGTAGACCAAGCTGACCTCAATCTCACAGAGATCCGTCTGCCTCTGCCCCCCACTGCTGGGGTTAAAGGCTGCGCCACCACCGCTTATTACATTATTTATTTGTTTATTTGTGTAGAGACCAAATCAACATATTGGGGCTACTTACGGGAGTATTTGGGGATCAGGCAACCTGACAGCCCATATGGGCATGGGTGATAACTCGCCAAAGTAGTCTTGCTTGGGTATAGGGGTGGCCTCATCTCACCATCCTGAGCCTGGGCTTTGTGAGTGTCCTTCAAGACACACAGGAGTATGGGGTGCAATTTTCTTAGAGCTCCCTGTAAGAGCCCACCCCTCCTCTCAGAGAGGAACTGGAGAACTGGAAACACCGGCTCCACCTCCAGCCTTCTGACCTTCCAAGAGACAACTTGATGACGAATGGATATTGTCAGATTTGGGGGAAAGCTTTTACTTTTTCTGGGGGGGGGTGTCTTATTTCAGTCCAATTGTGGAGGCCATTATGCCCTCCCCGAGTAGATATTCAGAGGCAGGGGGTGGGGCTGCATGGCTCGTAGCTCCCTTTGCCACGTGTGTTCTGTGTGGAGGCCAGAGGCTGAGAGCAGCTGTGTTCCTCAGTCTCTCCACCTCTCCAGAGCTCACTGATTGCTAGACTGCTGATCAGTGAGCCCCAGGGTTCCTCTTCTCCATCCCCTAGCTCTCGCTGAGGTACATTGTGTATCACTATGTCTGGCCTTTAACTTGGGTGTTGGGGATTCAGGCTCAGGTCTGTATGCTTGCATGCAAGCCCTTACTCCCCTGAGTTCTTGTGAGGTCTTCATCTATGGCACTGGACACCCTCTCTACACCACTCTTGGTGTGCAGGGTGCACGAGAGGAACACTGCTGCCTTGAGGTTGGGACTCTGGTGACCCAACTGTCCATGCATTGGCTATGACACGGGGGTGGGACTGCTTTGTGGGCCAGCTGCCTGAGTAGCCTATGCCCCTGTGAGGAATTCCAAGGGACTCGCTGGACCATGTGAGATGTATGTAGCTCTACATGGACCGTCATCCCTGTACTGCAGAGGCAGGAGGATTGAGGCCAGCCTGAGCTACAGTAAGTCCCAAGATAGCCAGGGTTAGACAGAGAGGTTCTGTCTCAAAATAAAAATAGATAGATAGATAGATAGATAGATAGTAGATAAATAGATTAATAGATAGATGATAGATAGACAGATAGATGATAGATAGATTGATAGATGATTGATAGATAGATAGATAGATGATAGATAGATAGATAGATAGATAGATAGATAGATAGATAGATGATAGATATAGATATAGATAAAATACCTTCAGGAAAATAATTTTGAAGATTTTAAAGCATCATTGGTTTGCAAAGCTGTTCTGGATGGAAGCTGTCTTTGGTCCGTGTGTGTCCTGTCTCGGTGATACACACTTGACTCTCTCCCTCTCTGTGTCTTTAATGTGTGTGTGTTGCTTGTCTGTGCACCATGTGCCTTCTGTGCTCACAGAGGCCAGAAGAGGGCGTTGGATTCCCCTGGAGCTGGAGTTCCAGGTGGCTTCTGGGTCCTCTGCAAGAGCAACAAATACTCTTAACCTCTGAGCCATCTCTCAGCCCGGTCCTGGAGATTTTAGAATGCTCAGGACCTTCGAACAAGGTTCTTTGATTCTACACAAGGCCATTGAGCTCCAGGCTCTTCCGTTCAGATATGGGCATCTTTGGGGCTGTTGCCTGGTGACTACAGCCCTCACCCAAGGCTCATCTGCTTTCTGTAGACTCCCACGGTTTCCCTCTGTGTCAAGTTTGTTTCACTCAGCACAGAGTTTCCCTGAGTCACCCTGTACCAGCGCCATGTCCCTTTCCATGGCTGAGTGGCACCCTATGGTATGGGCATGTGCTCTTTCTCTATTCACTTGTAGCTGAATGCCTGAGATGCTTCCTGCTTTTGTCTCAGGACCAGAGCAGCTCAGAACATTCCTTTCTTTCTTTAAAAAAAAAAGAAAAAGAAACAAGATTAATCTTGCTTTTAGTTATGTGTAGTACTTGTGTGTCTGCGTGTATGTATATGTGAGTGTAGTATGCATAGAGGCCAGAAGTGGGCATCGGGTCCCTTGGAGCTGGCATCATAGGCAGTTGTGAGCCCTCAAATGGGTGCTGAGAACCAAACCCAGATCTTCGGCAAGAATATCAAGAGCTGTGATCTTCTCGGCCATCCCTCCTGCCCTGACCATATCTTTCCATATTCGTTCATTTGTTGAATTGCTTGTTCTTGACACGGGGGTCTAACTGTGAAGCCCAGGCTGGCCTGGAAGTCTCCAGCACACTAATTCCTGAATTCTGAGGTCATGGGAAAATGTCTGACTTTCCTCCCAAGACTTTGTTTTGCCAGGAGTTGATGCCGTGTGTGATTTTATTTCTCCTGGGTGAGCAGAGCTGTGGACTGAGGAATCAGTGGGAGTTGAGGCAAGGCTGAACTTTCTCCAGACGCAGGGGCTACAGCATCCCAGTGCCACCCACAGTACAGCTCTAAAGTCACCTAGTCAGGCTGACATGGGGGAAGGCTTTACCTCCCTATTGATCCATCTGCCATCTATCGTTCTGTTTTTCTATTATCCATATCTATCTATCCATCATCTGCTATATACCTACCTGCCTATGGTCTATCCAACATCTATCTCTTTATTATCTATCCATCCATCTAGACAGGGTTCCGTTCTTCCTTTTTAAATTTTATTTGTTTGTTTGCTTGTTTATTTATTTATTTATTTATTTTTGACACAAGACAGGGTTTCTCTGTAGCCCTGGCTGTCCTGGAACTCACTCTGTAGACCAGGCTGGCCTCGAACTCACAGAGATCCACAGGCCTCTGCCTCCTTAGTTCTGGGATTAAAGGCATGCGCTACCACGGCCGGCTTAATTTTATTCATTTCATGTGGATGGATGTTTTCTGTATATATGTCTGTCTGCATACCAGGTGCGTGCAGTGCCCAGGGTGGCCAGAAGAAGGCGTCAGATGCACTGGGACTGGAGTTGCAGGTGGTTGTGAGCCACCGTGTTGTGCTGGAAACTGAACCTGGTCCTCTGCAAAAGCAGTCAATGTTCTGATCACTAACCCATCTCTCCAGCACCAGGGTTCCATTCTGTAGCCCAGGCTAGCCTGGAACTCCAGATCCTCCTGCCTCAGTCTCCCAAGTGCTGCTTCTGTGTCTCATTCCTTCATGTGGCTGTGGTCCCCCTCTGGCATGGGAAAACCCAAACAAAGCCATTTAGAACCCTTAGAGTCTCTGAGAGGTTGTTTTGGAGAGAGTATGCACCCGTGGGTGTGTGACTTGTGACTCACCAGCTCGCTCACTTGGCTCAGTGGTGCGGCTGTCTTTGTCTCATAAGCATCAGACCCTTCTGGAAATGAGCCCTGTTCTCTTTGTCCTGAGTCTTTCTGGCATGAGGCTGCCTCCCCCCCCCCCCCCCCGCCCCACCAAACTTCCTGCAATTCCTGTCCACTTCACCAGCCTGGGATGGCTGACTGGGGGTGGATGGGGGGATCATGGCTGATGTCACAGTGTGAGATCCTGCACAGGGGAGCCTCATTGCTTACACAAAGCAGAGTGGGAGCCAGAAAATCGATCCTCCCTCCTCTTTGGCTGGACCCTAAGAACGCCGTCCAGGTGAGTTCACAAGGCCACGGCCCCTCAGAGGCAATCACAGGCCACATTAAGTGGTTGAGGGAGTGAACAACACAAACTCTTCCAGCCTGCTCTCCCTTCTCACCTCGCTGTCTCAAGTTCACCTGTGAACCTCGGGTCACAAGGCTGAATGTGAGCAACAGCAGATAACTGTCTGCCTCGTGCTAGGCTTCCCTGGGAGCCAGCCCCAAAGACCTCCTCATTTGCCCTTCTAGGCCTGCAACATGTCTTCTACCAGAGCAGAGAAACTTTGCAAATGGATTAAGCTGAGGACCCTGAGCAGGGGATCATACTGTGTTATCCATCAGGTCTTCGGAGGGAGGCAGGTGGGTGAAAGACTGGAGACCGTGCCCTGCTGCCTCTGGAGGAGGATGATCCTGCAAGCCAAGGGATGAAGGGACACAGGCGCTCTAGATGCTGTGATGGAGTAGATGGTGGTATCCCCTGGAACTGCACTGCAGGCCTGAAGTGTAGGTAAGAGATGCCCGTGGTGAACCTCTGACCCCACAACTGCTTAGGGATAAAAGGGCATTTATTTATTTGTTTGTTTTTACGGTGCTGGGATGTAACCCAGGGCCTTTGCACGTATGATGTGAGTTTTCTTTCACAAAGCCAAGTTCTGAGCCCTTTACTGGGCAACTCTAAGCAGGTATACAGTATGCCAGTCTCAGAATAAAACCGAAAGGCTGGGAGAAGCTCAGTGGGTGGGGCACTCACCCAGCATAAGCAAAAAAGCAAGCCCTGGCTTCCACCTGCAGAGCTGCATGAAGCAGGCAGGGCAACCATACCTGTCATCCAGGCTCAGAGCTCAAGGCTAGCCTTTACTCTAAAATAAGTTCGGGGCTGGCCAGGGCTACATAAGGCCCTTGTCTAACAATGAAACACTTCCATGTTCAGATCTGTGATCCGCCAGGGCTGAAGCTCATCCCTGAAGGAAGGGGATGTGGATGGTTGGCCGCTGTCCCTCCCATCACCTGGTTATCCTGGCCGGGGAGAGAAACAGAGTCCAGAGTCAGAGTAGAGAAGACGGGGCTTTTATTCCGCAGCAATCACACTGCCGTGGCCCGCGTGTGTGGCACAACAGAGTTTCGTAAAATCAGAAATGAAAACCAACCAATGTCACAATGCAGGTAGAAAGTGGGGTGGGAGCCGGGTCTGGAGTGGGGCGCAGGAAACGGGAAATGCTGTGTGATGTCCTATCTGGCCATTGTGTCCCAGACACTCGGAGAGGATGCCCATGGCTTCTGCTCAGGACAAGGGACGGTTTGGCAGCTTCTGCTTGGGTTGGAAGTCCCTCCTCGGGCGCTCAAGCTAAAGCAGATCTCACTGTTTGTGTCATTGCCTTTTCCTAGACCGTGTCTATAGCCCTGGGTGACCTGGAACTCGCTCTGTAGACCAGGCTGGCCTCGAACTCACAGAGATCCCCCTGCCTCTGCCTCCTGCATGCTAGGGTAAAGGCCTGCGCCACCACAGCCCAGCTCCTGATGGCTCCCTTGTGTCCAGGCTTCTCCAAGCTGAGGCAGGGGTCTGGTGGTTAAGACGGGACATGGAGACTATTGTGGGGCCCAAGGTCCACCTTTCCCCAGGAAGTGAGAGGTCACTTTGCCCTTGGCCTGCAGTGAGAGGTTTATTCGGGCATAGATGATAATTTGAGCTTTTCTTCCCAGAGTGGAGGAAGGAAAACTTGCTGTGACCACACATGGACTGGCCGTGGCATCTGCTGCTAGCAGCCTCGCCTGAGGCCTGAGGGAGGCTGGGGTGCGGGCATAATGGACCAGTGAACTGAATTTCCTCTCTTTGAGACATGGTCTCATGTAGCCCAGGCTAGCCTCGAGTCCATTATGTAGCAAAGAATGAGTGGTCCCTCCTGCATCTGCCTCTACCGCGTGCCCATGCCTGGCTTCAGCAAGCTGGGGATGGAAGCCCGAGCGAGGTTCTGGCACACCAGCTGAGTGTTCCCACTTTTCTCTCTCCTTGCCAGCGAGGCTGGGTACATACACCCCGGGGCTCTGGTTCACACTCTAATGCAAGATGGCTATAGTTTTGGGGAGACACAGTGGCTTTTCTGATCCCAACACAGGTTTAGGGAGTCAGAGTCTTCCCAAAGCTCCTATCTTCCTTGACCAGTAATGAGGAGTTGATGCACAGGAGGGGGCTGATCTTCAGTCTGTGTCCTCTGGGAGCCAGCCCAGGGAGGGGGGACGGGGTCCCCTTTTAGCACCCGCAACGTCTCCCCTTATTCTCACCACAAATGTCTTTCCCTTGCCCCATCAGAATGAGTTGGGGGCTGTGCCACCTTACCTAGGAGGTAGGTTGTGCCCGGAGGGGCTGGAAGGTAAGGTGGGTTGAGTTAGACTCATTTACTTTCCCCACGGGCAATTAGGGCAACTGTCCAGGGACCAGCCTGGTTCAGGTTCTTAGAAGCTGATTTTCACCAGGGCCACAGGACAGAACTGGACTGGTTTCATTTCTGCTGTCTGCGCCTGCACTGGTTTTCCCGCGAGGGCCTGAGACCGCGGGACACTCCTGAATCCATGGCCATCCTGATGCTGACGATGCCTGCAAGGGAGGGTTGGCACAGCCAAGCCTTTTCCTCCTGCAACCTGCTGCTGTCACTGCTACCTATACAGGCCAGGTCTCTTCGAATCCAACTCTATGCCAGGCAAGGAAGCAGAGGCCAGTCATACATGTACTCTGGAGGCAGAGGCAGGAAGAGCTCCAGTTCCGGGCCAGCCTGGATGACAGACTATTCTCACAAAATAGAAAGTGGAGATCTTGCCTAAAATCCCCCAGTGAGGGGGCTGGGGGCGTGGTCAAGACGGAGCCCCGCCTTGGATCCCCAGTGATTCACTAGGGGCGTGGTCGGGTAGAGCCCCGCCCAGAATCCCCAGTGAGGGGCTGGGGGCGTGGTCAGGACGGAGCCCTGCCTAAAATCCCTAGTGAGGGACAGGGGGCGTGGTCAGGGTGGAGCCCCGCCTGGAAACCCCCTCCCCCGTGAGGGGCTGGGGGCGTGGTCAGGGTGGAGCCCCGCCTAGGATCTTTCAGTGGTCCACAGTCCTCACACTGAGGGTCTCCTATTCCAGCCAGTTGGAAAGTGATTTGATCCAAGGAGAGGGAAGGGGGATCCGGAGTCACAGTCACCACCCCTATGTGGGATGCAGGACCCCATCTCTGTGACTCTTTCTCAATCACTTCAAAAGAATTAACCCTGCGTTTCTGCCCTCACAGGGCCTTGGTAAAGGAGCTGCCAGTGACCACATGGGTCTCAGGCTTAAGAAAAAACAAATCACCCACTCAGTCATACCAGCAATAGCTTGCTCTGTGTGGGGGCCTAGAAGTCTGTTTCTGAAAGGGGCTGGGTCCCCAGAGAAAGGACATCACCGCGGATATGACAGGACCACACTCAGGAGGGACACCGGGCAGCACAGGGTGCCTTGTGGATGCTGGCTATATTTCTCTGGTTCTGAGGCAGGGTCCCTCACTGGAGTTCAGCGCCCTAGGGAACCTTCCTTCTGTCCCTCAGGGCTGGGGCGCAGGCATGCCCCCCTGCACTTGGGCTTTGTGTGTGGGATCAGAACTCAGGTCCTCATGCTGGTAAGACATGCATCTCACGCGCTGAGCCATATCCCCAGCGCCAGCTAAGGGGAGTTTTATAACACAGTCCCATCACTCAGGTTCCCAGCGGTGCTTGACACGAGGGGGTGGGGGCGGTAACATCTGGGCGCGCAGAGGCCCACGGTGGGGTCGCAAAGCCCACCTTACTCAGGAGGACCTACTTCAGTTAGTTTCCGTTTCTTCAGAAATCAAAGTGTGAGAAACTCAGATATTTTTCTCACAGTAAAAACTGGACAATACGTGGGAGGGCAGGAAGGGCAGAGAGAAAGAGAGAGAAAGAGAGAGAGAGAGAGAGAACTAGAGAATTATGCAGGGTTTTTTGTCTTTGAACGGGTTCTCAGAGGCTGGCACGCCGACCAGCAAGGGGTCGCTCCTGGCATGCTGCTCGCAGTAATTCATCAGTTCTGACGAGGCTTTGGAGACCTGTGTGGCACAGGAGAAAAGGGAGGTCAGACAGGAGAGCCGCCCTCCGCACCCACCGCACTGACTGAAGCGGGCTGCATCACGGAGGACTTGAGGACATTGTGCTTGGTGATAGAATCAGACTCAGAAGGTCACGTAGTGTGGACTCCATGATCCAGAGACAGGAAGTGGCTACATGGTCGCTAGGGGATGGAGATGGGGAAAACGATGCCTCCTGAAACAGGCTTTGAGTAAGATACCACTCACAGGCTGGGCAGTGGTGGCGCACGCCTTTAACCCTAACATTTGGAAGGCCCAACCTGGTCTACAGAGAGTTCCAGGACTGATTCCAAAGCTACACAGAGAAACCCTGTCTCGAAAAAAAACAAAAATAAAATAAAAAGATACTACTGAACGGGAGTGAGGGCATGGTCAGGGTGGAGCTCCTGCCTAGAACCCGCCCAGTGAGGGGCTGGGGGCGTGGTCAGGATGGACTCACGCCCAGAATCCCCAGTGAGGGGGGCTAGGGGCGTGGTCAGGGTGGAGCCCCGCCTAGAATTCTCCCCCCCCCCGTGAGGGGCTGGGGGGGTGGCTTAGAGGTCCAATGTTCTAGTTCCTGTGAACCTCTGGGTTCCATCCCCCACATGCAAAAGAAGCAAAGAGAGGAATGGGACTTTGAATGCTCTCCAGCACAAGTTGCTAGCATTTAAGCAAGCAGTGCCTGGATTCCTTCCGCATTAGATCCACTCAAGATAGGTGCCTAGGAAAAGCCTTGCCTGTCATCTGACCAGGTCAGTCTGATGCCTCACACCCCAGCTGGCCCCTGGGGTCCCTCTGTCACAGCTTTCCGGGGTCTCACTGACCCCTCAGCTGCAGCCCAGGCATCAGCTCACCTGTGACATCCTCCTCAGAAAGTTGGCTGCTGTCACTCGCTGGCCACGCCCACTGCGCTCTGGCCACGCCCCTTGCTCTCTGGCCGCGCCTGTAGCTGAGGATGACCACAGTCTTGCACCACCATTGTCTGCTGCACCCTGCCAACTCAGCTAAACACCCTATGCTAAGTCACCCACAGGTCTTTTGTTACAGAGATGGGGTCTCACTTTGTTGCCCGGGTTGGCCTGGAGCTCCTCTGAGTCTGGAGTGACAGGCGTTCACTACCACAGCCATCTTCCAGGCCGCTTAGTTGAAACCCCAGTTACCTGGGTGTGTTGGAGACACTGGGAACCTGGCTCGGCCAAGCTGCTGGGCCCTGGGGACAGGGACAATCGCCTCTCAGAGCCTGTGGGCTGCTGCCCTTGAACATTCGGACGTAGACTCCTACTTGGAAATTCATCCTCTGTGATTCCAAGAATAGCCTGAGAGACCTTGAAAAAGCTGGTTTGGGAGCAGGGCACTCAGGTCCCCTTCCAGAGTCCTCCCAGGCCTCTATGATTCTGATGGTGACTTCGCAAGAGGTGCAGAAGCCCAGAGTGCCTGCGAGGGTGACCAGGCTAATAACACCCCATGCCACCCGCAGACTGGACTGGCTGCCGGGGGGTGGGGGTGGGGTGGGGGGTGGGGGGGGTGCTCTTCCCGACTTCAAAAAGGCCCTGATGAATCACAGAGCGCTCTCCGCTCGGGCTGGGGGTTGGCACCAGCTTAGACACAAAACTGCTTCAACAAGGACCTTGTTCTGTGCCCCGCCCCAAGGAATGCTTTGACTACCCAGGTCTGCCAGAGACCTTCAGCTGGGGCCCACGGGCCTCCTCTGAGGTGTCCTCGGCCCAGCCTGGCCAGAGAGCTGGGGTCACGTGGGATCAAGCCCATTTGAGACTACATATCTCCAGGAACGTGCTCAGATCATCCCCGACTGAAACTGGGGCCCAGTGAATGAAGATCTGAATGAATTTGTATGGGACCATGTTGATTAGTCAAACACTAAGGTTTGATGGTGCTGGGCATGGAGCATCAGGCGAACTCTTGCTAGGAAAGCCTGAAGTCCTCAGACCACGCCCCAGCCCCTCACTGGGGGATTCTAGACGGGGTTCCACCCTGACCACACCCCAGTCCTTTTAAAGTACACAAACCAGTCTTATTGCAAGAAATGAAAATCTGAGCTGGGCAGTGGTGGCACATGCCTTTAATCCCAGCACTTGGGAGGCAGAGGCAGGCAGATCTCAGAACGAGTTCCCGAATGAGGGCTACACAGAGAAACCCTGTCTCGAAAAATCAAAACTAAAACAAAGCAAAACAAAACAAAAACCATGAATAGTTGTCTGTGGCTCCTGCTCTCATCATGGTCACCAAAGAGAAAGACAGCACTGTGGAGAAGAGGGCCACCGGTAAGAAAAAGCGCCCGCGGGAAGCCGAGCCACAGCCAATGGAGCACTTGGCGTTTCTCAGCCACATGCAACGGCTGTCTCCTTCTGCTGAGCGCTTCAGAGAGCCCTGTGAGTGTCCCAAGTTCACACAGCCAGAACCCACGCAGAGGAGCCACTCCAGGTCTCCCTCCGCCCCGGCCCGCTCACCTTGATGCGCTCAATCCCGGCTTCAATGCGCAGCTGCTCCACCAGCTTCCGGGCCTGGGCAACGTTGTTAGTCCCTGACATCATCAGCCATCAGCCTGGACCCCACTGTCCAGAGAGCTGAAAGCAAGGAGGGATGGGTGTGAACCTGCTGATCAGACCCCGCGACCCCGCCGACCCTTCAGAGGACAGTCCATCCCTGCCAGTGGTATGGTAGAAGCCAGCAGTCACTGGCCCATGCCCCACATGGTAGGGGATAGAATCCGGGTCTGGTGACTCCAGCCTCTCACATAGTCGTTCATTCACTTGAACGGGTCCTGAGGTGTGACCGGCATGGCCCAGGCTGGGGCTGATGATAATTCAGCTGAAGACTGTCCCGAGCTGGCCTTGAACTCACAGAGATCCGCCTTCCTCTGCCTCCCGAGTGCTGGGATTAAAGGTGTGCGCCACCACGGCCTGGTTAAGGCCCCTAACTTTTTATTGTTTAAAAATATCTGTGTATAAGCCGGGCGGTAGTGGCGCACGCCTTTAATCCCAGCACTTGGGAGGCAGAGGCAGGCGGATCTCTGTGAGTTCGAGGCCAGCCTGGTCTACAAGAGCTAGTTCCAGGACAGGCTCCAAAACCACAGTGAAACCCTGTCTCGAAAAACTAAAAAAAAAAAAAAAAAATATCTGTGTATGCACACCGCACACCTGTTTGTATGTGTGAGTTCTTTCGCATGTGTTAGAGTATCCACACTGAGGTAGGAGACAGCGTGTGGTTTCTCTGGGATTGAACACACGTTGTCAGTCTTGGCTGCAATCACCTTTCCCAGCTGAGCCCTGTTGTCAGACCTTGCCGATAGTTTTATCAAATGTCAATGGAATTGATTTATGGGTTTTTTTGTTACAGCTAGACATGAACAGGCAGTAATTTTTGTTTGTTTTGTTCTGAGATAGAGTCTCCATATATGCTGACCTGAACTCTTGGCCATTCTCCTGCCTCAGTTTCTTATGCTGAGTTGACAGGCTACTACATGCAGTTTAACAATGTTTTTAATCTGATTTCAATTAATCATCATCATCATCTCTGGCCCTGCCTGGGTGTGGGCACATATCCAGCACCACTCCTGTGGCTGCAGAGAAATCGCTCCTCAGGACTTTCAAGGCAGGACACAGAAACCACGTGGACTCCAACCTGAGATTTCTCAGAGAAGAAGGGCAGGCCTAGCTGTGTGTTTTCTTGGGAAGCTGGGGAGCAGAGGGCTGGGGAGTAGAAGTTGGGGGCAGTCCGGCTCAGCACACGTGTGTGCACATACATGTAAGAATGTGTTTGAGTGAGGGTGTGTGTGGAGATCAGTGTGCCCAGTCTTCAAGTGTGTGCTGTGTGTGCACGGGGATCTCTGGAGGCTGGTGCATGGACGGCATGGGCTTGTGTGCTTGCTTGGCTTTGTGCATGCTCAGTCAGGGCTCCACTCAGGAGCCCCGCCACTAGCCCCTCTCTGGGGGATTCTCGGCTGATACTGCTCACACGCGCGCACGCGCACACACACACACACACCCTTCTGTGTATCTCAGTATGTACATGACTGCGTTTATCCACAAACACATCTGGACACATCTGTGTACCTCGGTATGTACATGACTGCGTTTACCCACAAACACATCTGGACATGTTTTGTGCTCCATGCTTATCCTGGTACACAGCTGTCCGCTGCACCTCTGCAGGCTGTCCCCTGTTGTCCTGGCAGAAGCATGTGTCACCAGTCAGTCCCTGACTCACCGCCCAGTCATGCCCCCCGCCCCCCACACACACAACAGTAAGCCAACAACAGCCAAACATGCAGGCTGCTGAGTCAGCTGGGCTCGTTCTTTACAGGCAGCTGGCCACAAGGCTTGGCACGTGGCAGCCCCGGGGGTGGACAGAAGCCCGCAGAGCTCCTGGCTGTGGCCTCGGTGACTGCAGCACCGGGCTCCTGGTGGCCCTCGAGAATTCGGGACATCACTTGGGGTGACTTGGGATGATGGCCTTTCAGAACAGCCTTGGGAGAGCTTCCAGAACCGGATTCAAAGGCCGGGAAGGCAGGGTTAGGTTTTAGCTCTCCTTGTGGGTGAGATATAATTACACCTTGGGTGTGCTGGGGCATGGCAACCAAGCTCGGAGGAGACAGAGGCTCGTGGAAACTGTTCACGACACTTGGCCTCTGCCGGCTCCCGGTCAGGAGCTCCCCACATGACAGCCACATATGTCCCTGGTGTTACCTGGAGCCCAAGGGGCCAAGTTACTCTCTTTTTGGGTCCATGGACTACAAGAGACCCTGTGTCCCTGGTCACTGACCCTGCTGAGGCCCTTGGAGGTGGCCTACATGGTGCTGGGAGGAGAGGAAAAGAGGTCCCAGAAGTTGAGGTCTAGGGTGCCTGGGCTCCCGGGATGGTTCTGTGTGGCTGTCACGTCCCTAGCCTCATATAACCCATCCGACCCCAGCCCCCCTGTTCAACTGAGATTCCAAAGGCGCAAGACTAACAGACAGCTGGGCAAGACGGGGCCATCAGAGGCAGAGGGGGAGACAAGAGTCCCTCAGCCCGCACTGACAGACACACAGAAACTCAAAGATCAAAGAAGAGGCCCAGGTGTGGAGACGCACACCTTTCACCCCAACACTAGATCCAGAGGCCAACCTGGTCTACATGGCTAGTTCTAGGACAGTCACGGGTGCACAGCGAGACCGTGCCTCAAAACCCATAATACATACATCATAGATACATACATACATACATACATACATCATAGATACATACATACATCATAGATACATACATGCATACATCATAGATACATGCATACATCATAGATACATACCCCGCCTTACCCCACCGCTTGAGTGCAGGGATTAAAGGCGTGCGCCCCACCTTGCGACAGTGAGCCTTCTTAAGGATTTCATTTAATGACATGGCTTCTGTTAAGGGTCCTACACACACACTGAAACCCTTTGGGGTTCACAGTGAACCCTAATAGACAGAAGCTTTAAAAGTACATACGGCCATGTAACCACCACCAGGACACAGGCCGTTCCTGTCACCGACTTCCTCACTGTGTATGGTAGCTGGGGTCGAAAGTCCTAGGACGGGAATCTCACATTGTAAATGGCCTGGCCTTTCTCCCGCGTGACATCAGCACGATTCACCTACTTGGGCCCTTCGTTCTTTCTCATGGGTGAGTAATACTCCACCAAAGACAGAAGGCACGGGGTAGAGATGACTCGTGGGTAAGGGTGCTGGCGCCAAGCCCTCGGACCCACAGGGCAGACGGTGAGGGCAGATTTCCTGAAGCTGCCTGGGCTCCCCACGCAGGCTGCCGTGCACTCATGCGCGCATGCGCACATCATCTCCAGCGCCTGTTTTGTGTATTTGTTTTGGGAACAGGCCTCACCGGGCTGTCACTGCCCCCAACGCGGCCGTGTAGCCGGGGATGCCCCAATGCCCCTGCCTCAGCTCTGCAGTTAGGACAATAGCATGTGCTTGCTGTGATATTTTGCTTTCAGTTACAGACTCACAGGCATTCTCAGAGAGCACACGGCCTGGACAGAGCAAAACAGTGGAACCTGACCACGCCCTGAGCTGCATTCCCCACTGGTGACAGGCTCACGGGCGGCCCAGGCAAGTGGCAGAGGGCGTCAGGGCCTCGGTGTGCTTGGGGAGGGTCAACAGGACAGCCGGGGCATGGGTCCTGCTGGTGCAGAGCGCCCTGACCTGGCTCCAGGGCCTTGCGCCCTGGTGACACGGCATTTGTCCCCTGGAGCGAGGTCTCTCTTATCAGGAGAACCCTGTGACCCCAGCAGGTCTGTAGGTAAAATGAAAACACGGGAACTCTGGCGACACCACAGCTCCCAGAACTCCGGGATCAATGCTGCCGATACTCAAGTTTAGTTTCATCAACACCAAGGGGACCGACCCTGTCAGCACAGTGCTTGTGGCTCAGCTGGTAGGGGTGCTCGTCCAGCACGCAGGAGGCCCTGGGTCCCATCAGAGCACCACAGAGACTGGCCATAGTGGAGCACACCTAGCAAAGGGTCAAGAGTTCAAGACTACCCTCAGCTAAATAGACAGTTTAAGGCTAGCCTGTGCTACATGAGACTTGGTCCCCACAGACATAAATAGTAAGAGAAAGAACATGACGACCTCTGAACATCAAGGGGAGCCAGGAGATCTGTGGAGGGGGAGGGGACCAGGGACGCTGAGCAGCTGTGGCCACTGCGTCCAGATCCAGGTCAAGAGTCAAACACACACACAGCATGGGCAGAGGCGGCCAGGACCAGGGCGACCTGCGAATGTGGCGAGGCTGGTGTGCTGCACTCTGTTGAGAAACCATTACAGCCTAGGGCTCCTCCCCTCCTGTCCAGAGGCCGTGGGGGATGCAGGCATCACCTCCACGTGCCCTCCAGGGGTACCTGTAAAATTCAGGGCCCAGGTGCAGCCCGCTGGGCAGGGGCCTGTAGCTGGGGGAGGGGAGTGCCAGAGAGTGATCAGAACTCAGTTGTCAAATGAGCTCACCTATATAACTGAAGCCACAGCAGTGCCTATACCTGTAGGGAGGTGGAGGCAGGAGGATTAGCATTCAGGGCCAGCCTGGGCTACATGTTCTTTCTGTGAACCTACTGACTGCATATGGATCAATACAATCTTCTTCCCCAGAAGCCCAGAAGCATATCTCTGAGGCAGAGTCCCAAAGCGTGATGAGGTCACCGCCAGGGACCCGGCCCTGCTGCAGCTCTGGGAAGACGGAGGTTCCCCCTCTTCCCCATGCCCTGGATTCGAGTCTCACCTTCTCTACCCAGAGAAGAGTTGTTCTGAGATGGGGCGACAGGTCCCTGTTTGTCCTCCTGCACCTCTAAGACAGGAGCCCCACAGCTGTGACCTCTTTCTGAGGCATATGGACTTTGGAGGGAAATACCTGGAGACTGTCACCTTGCACAACCATAGTCAGATAATGAGGTCACTATTTGGGGACAGAGAATGGAAACGTGTGCTGGGATTTGCTAGACGGGGGGGGGGGGGGTAATATGATAAAAAGCTTCCGGCCAGGGTATGAGGATGGGGGCTCAGCCAGCATAGTGCTCGTAGCTTAGCTGGTGGAAGAGCTC